TGGGCGGCGGAGCCGGCAGACACGCGGGCCCGCTCCGGGCGCCCTCGCACGAGCGGGGGTGGCTGTGGTCGCGGCGCCTTGGGGGGGGGGCAAGCGCAGGGGCCTAAGGAATGGGGCACGAACAGACCTGCACTGGTTTCAAGATCTGCCGCATTCCTTCGTACGTCCCAGGTGTAGGGGCCACAAGATTTGCCGGTTTCTCCCTAATTTCCCAGATGCCCCTCGTCCCCTGCATTTTCCCACATGTCTCTACAATCTTACGGAAATCCGCATCCGTTCTGTGATTGTGACGCGGTCAGCTCACAGGGGCAAGTCGGCCTGGCGAGTTGGCACCCACATTCGTAGCCTCGCCGAACACGGGCAGGCGGGATACAGGCGCGTCGCGGTTGGCTGGCTGGCCCCACGGCGGCAAGGACCTAACTGGCAGGCCGGAGAAAAGGCAGGGGGCGCTCGCCCCACCGCCAGGCGGTGGGGTGAGCGCGAGTCGGCGTCGCGGAGCCGAGCAACCTCGCCAACGCCTCCCCCCCGCCAGGCGCTGGGCCAGCCCAGCCTCGACGCACCCAGGAGCCACCGCGACGCCACTGTGCTCGCGCATCAGGGTCGGGCGGGCGGGGAAAAACGCATCCCGTCAGCGGGACGGCCAGGCGGGAGGCGAATCGGACCACCTGCGGCGACAACGCGCTCGCGGGCGCGCAGGGTGGGGGCGCGGAACGCAGCTGACGTCGCTAGAAGACACGCCTGCCAGGCAGGCTGGCCGACGCGCTGGTCCGCAGGCCCTCGAGGAGGGCCAGCGACAGCAAAACACCTCAGGCAAAGCGAAGCCCCCTGGAAAAGCAGGGGGGACCGAGGGAGGGGAAAGCCAGGAAGAGGGGCGCTGGAGACAGGGCAGGGAGGGGAGAGGGGGGAGGAGGAGGAGGAGAGAGGAGAAGAGAGGAGGAGAGAGGAGGAGAGAAGAGGAGAGAGGAGGAGAGAGAGAGAGAGAGAGAGAAACACAGAAACGAGGGCGGGAAGGGAGCGATGAGGGAGGAGGCAGGGGAGGGAGGCAGGAAGGCGGCACTCGCCAAGACCCCGCCGCCCGAGGCTCCAGGGCAGCCAGGCACGAACCCCGTGCGCCTGCACGGGCTCGGCGAGCTCGACCGCGAGGCCCGGGAGCTCCGCCAGCGGCGTGGGCCCCTCCACCTCCCTCCTCCTCCTCCTCCTCCTCCTCCTCCTCCTCCTCCTCCTCCTCCTCCTCCTCCTCCTCCTCCTCCTCCTCCTCCTCCTCCCCCTCCTCCTCCTCCTCCTCCTCCTCCTCCTCCTCGGGCGCCGACCAGTGCCGCCGACGGGCAGAACGCGCGGGGGCGGCGGCCGCGGAGGCTCCGCGGAGGCAGGGAGGGGCCGCCGGCCCCGGCGGCGGGCACGACGCGCGCACCGCGAGGACGCGGAGGGAGCGTCTCGGGCGGGCGGCAATGGGGGGGTGACCCAGATGGGGCCCTCGAGGGCCCCAAATGGGTGAGGACAGGGGCCCTATGAAGGGGGGGGTCCTTTATAGGGCCCCTTTGGGGGCCAGCGGGTGCCCAAAGGGGGGGCCCCAAAGGGCCCCTCGAGGGCCCTTTTCTTCACCCCCCATGTGGGTCCCCCCCCCCTGAGACGAGCTGCGTGCATTGGGAAGTCGAACCTGCGTGTATGGGAAGCAGGTGTTTTTTGGAAGCAGGTTCGATTTCCCAATACACGCAGTTCATTTTTGGAAGCAGGTGTTTTGGGGGAAGCATATTCGACTTCCCAATGCACGCAGTTCATCTCTTGCCGGCCGCCCGACCGTCGGGCCTCGGGAGTAGACGAGCGCGTTCCACGACTCGCAAGGTCACTCCTCGCAAATGGCTTCTGTCCCCCGCGGGGGACCTACGACAAATTACATCAAAGCAGGCAAGCAGGCATGTATTTCTCGCACGTTTTGCAAATACGTCGGCTTCGGCACCGCCTGATTCCGAAGCTTTGCCTCCTCCCGGCCTCGTTCTGAGGCTGCGCCCCCCTTTTCCTCCCCCATCTCTGATTAATCCAAGCTTCGCGCGGCCTGCTTAGCTTCGACCCGAAGAGGTGCGCTCTCGACCCGCGGATCAAAAAAGTGTTTGTCGCACGTTTGCGAGGGCGCACTCTCCGAGTAGTGGAACGCGCTCGGTGCGGGAGGGCCTCCGGTGTGAGGGCCGTTCCCCCCGCGGCGGGCCGCGGCACCTGCTCGTGGCCGAGGCTCGCCCGGGCCAGCGGGAGGCCGTCGCTCCCTCGTCGGGGCCCCTACGGCGACACTGCTCGCGGGGGGGCCTCGTCGAAGGCATCGGGGGTCGGAGCCCCTGGATGCTCTACAGGCCCAATGAAAATTGGGCCCGAGCAGGTGGGGTCGAAGGATCGCGCCGCAGCGCCGATGCATCCGCGGTGCGTCGGCGCCACAGGCTCGGGGAACATCGGGCTCCACATCGAGCCGCGTCGCCGATGCATCGCCCGTGCGGCGCGACCCTCTGGCCCCGCCCGCTCGGACCCCGTCTGGAAGGCCCGGGCTCTTGGCACGTGGTGCTCCCCCGCGTGCTGCCCGCCCCTGCGGCAGCTCGCCGACGCCCGGCCGCGCGCCGAGGAGTGGCCCTGGGCGGGAGCGGCCTTCCGGTGCGCGACGCTCGGGGGCCGCGGGGAGGCCGAGCGGGAGCGCGCAGGCCGCTGCCACCGCGCCGCGGGCGGCCACGCGGGCGGCGAAAAGGAAGCGGGTCCTGCGCGAGGGGGCATGGCGACCCTGCGCGGTGGCTTCCGCGGGCCGCCCGCGCGGCACGCTCCACACTGGCAGCGAGGTCGCTTGCGCGCGGCCTCACGCGGGCGGCTCGCGCGCCAAAGTCGGGGAAGAGGGCCCCGCGTTCGCTTCTGTCGCTCATCTCGGGACCCCGGGGTGCCCGCACATGGCCGCAGCAAAAGCCACTCCGGCGACAGGTCACTCGTACGTAGAGCAGAGAGGCTCGCCATCGCTTGGACGTCCACTCCCCGTGCATTTTCGGTTTCGTGCGTGTTTTTTCTCCCTCACGAGGACCTAACATGTTCGATAGCAATTCATGGTAGCCTCCCATGCCATCTTGTTGGTTCTTGCGAATCGACGCTCGTCGACGCTACATCGGCGCTAATCGACGCTAAATCGACGCTACTCGACGCTAGCCGACGCATAATCAGCGCTATGTCATCGACTCCCACACGGCAATCGACGCCAAGAACGGAATTAGGAGGGTACACCACGCTCCCACGATTTGCTACCGCATCAAATGCTTCTCGGTTGTCCGTGCCGAGAATAGAGACCTCCTAGATGGGGTCGGAGTAGATGGGGTCCGAGGATCGCGCCGCATCGCCGATACATCGGTGATGCATCGCCGATGCGCTGGCGGCGTCGGCGGCGATGCATCGGCGACGTCGGTGGAGAAAATCCCACCAGCCCTTTGGGCGTGAGTGGTTTAGCGAGCTCTCTCTGTTCTCAACCCCCCTTCTTCCCCTTCGGGGAGGGGTTTACCCCTCCCCCTACCCCCTCCCCCTGGACCTGGAGAGGGGGTTTCGCGGGTCGTTGGAGGGGTCTTTTTCGACTCCTGGGAGGGCTAAAAAACGACACCCCTCACGAGGATTATGGCCCCGACGGGGGGGAGGAGAAAAGTGCTCGCCTCTTCTTTGAAGCCAAAATCATTGATTTTACTATGGTTTTGGCCCCAGTTTGGCCTTCTGAGGGGGCAGCGCTAATTAAAGCTCCCCTCTTCTTTCAAGCCAAAATCATTGATTTTACAAAGGTTTTGGCCCCATTTTGGCCTTCTGAGGGGGCAGCGCTAATTAAACCTCCCCTCTTCTTTGATCGATTTCCTCCAAAATGGCCCCAAGAAGCGCCCAGGAGGCACCAAGAGGCCCCAAGATGGCCCCAAGAGGCCCCCAGGAGGCCCCCAAGAGGATCCCAAACGGCCCAAAGAGACCCCCCCGAGGCACCCAAGACGCCGAAAAGCCCATCAGGACGACCCTCTACTCGCCTGGGCGTCGTTTCTGGACGGGCAGGAGGAGGGGCCCGAACGACTCACACCAGGACGAGGGGCCCGAACAACTCACACCACGAGAAGCCCGAACGACTCACACCAGGACGAAGAGCCCGAACGACTCACACCACGAAGAGCCCGAACGACTCACACCAGGAAGAAGGGCCCGAACGACTCACACCAGGACGAGAAGCCCGAACGACTCAAACCACGAGGAGCGCTTTCTCTCCCTCCTCCTCCGCCTCGTCCTTCTCCCGCTCCCACCACAAGGAGGATGTACAAGGAGGCGGGAGGAAGGAAAAACAGGTGAGATATGCGGGGGCAGGCGGAAACACGCCTGAAAAACACGACTGTCGGCATGCTTCGCTAGAGTTGCTATTTTGAGATGGGCTGGTGGGGATACGCGAAGCGTGAAGAATTGGGCTCCGCATTGAGCCGCATCGTCGAGGCATCGGCGATGCGGCGCGATCCCCCGACTCCATCTACTCCGACCCCATCTAAGAGGCCTAGAGTTAGGTCGGGCATGTCCCCCTCCAGGCGGGTTTTGGGCGAAGAATCATAGATACCTCAAACATGCCCAAACAGTCATCCGAATCTGCTGAAACAAATCGCCCCCTGACGATGTGTTGGCTATGTTTAAATCGTCCTCCTGAAGAGGGACAAGCCCGGCTTAAGCCTGGAAAGAAACGTGCACATGTTGGCGGCGCGCACAACGGGGTGGGGGGAGGGGGGAGGGCCTCTTAGAAGCAGGCCGCTTCTTAGAAGGCGCCGGCCTTAGATCTATAGATAAGGCCCGCGCCTTCTCAGAAGCAGGGGTGCTTCAAAGAAGCCCTCCCCCCTCCCCCCACCCCCCTTCTGCGCGTGGCTGAGCATGCCCGCGCGATGCCGAGGAGGAGGGGCGGCGGCGGGGCCGCGGCGCCGCGCGAGGCCCTCCGGCCGGGCGACGAGGAGGGGGGAGAGCGCTCCGGCGGCCGAGGCCCGGGC